CACATGTAGTCGTGCCCTCGGGCCCAGTTTATGATCCTTGCATTGAAACATAGCCCAGTTCAGAGTGTGCGGTGTCCCTTGGGATACCCATTACATCATCACTTTCTTACATAAAGGAGAAGTCAGCCTGTGTTGTCCATGACCAGCCTGAGCACCAGGATCACATCCAGATGTTTAAGTGCTTACTGTTCCAAGAAAACATAAAGCTGTTCATTTCCTTTTTTGGCAATAAAGCAAAGCTAAGGCTAACAGTATTGTATGTGTGTGTGTGTTTGTCTACATGTGTCTGTTGTCTGTTTGTGTGTGTTTATGTGTCTGTGGTTTTGTGTGTGTGTCTTTGTGTGAGTCTGGTTTTGTGTGAGTGTTGTGTGAGTGTTTGCCTGTGTGTATGTGTATGTCTGTGTTTTTGTGTGTGTATGTGTATGTCTGTATTTTTGTGTGTGTATGCATGTGTTTTGTGAGTGCGTGAGTGTTTACTCTTCCAAGAAGCCAATCACCCTAATCCAATTCCCTGCTCTTTCTCCACCCCTTTTCTCTGTGGATCCTTCCTCTGTGTGGAAGTTCCAATTTATTAAATGCCTTAGAAACTTACGGCACAGATGAAGGCCATTCAGCCCATCATGTCTGTGCTGCTCTTGTAAGAGGAATCCTTATTTCCCTGCCCTTTCCCCACACCAGTGGAGCTGACTCTTTCTAAACTATGTGTCTAGTTCTGCCGTAAACCAAGATAGATTCTGCCTGTGGGTCAGCAGCACATTCCATATCCTACAACAACAACTTGAATTTGTATAGTGCCATTCACTCGGGGTAGCGTCCTGTAGCACTTTACAGTGGCAGAGTCTGACCCTGAGCCAGGGAGAGAGCGAGGTGGGAGGTGACCATAACCGCAATCAAAAAAGAAGTCTTTAGGTGAAATTGTAAGGTGGGGAGCGAGGGGGAAAGGCGTAGGGATTGAGGGAGAGAGTTCCATAGTTTCAGTAGCTGAATGCAATAGGAGTACATTGTTGTTCACAATGAGAGATGTAAATAATGGTGTCTGCCAGGGATCAGTGTTGAAGCCATTGCTTTTCTTCATTTATATCAATGATCTGGATACTGGTAATAATGGGTGCAATTTAATAATAATAATCCTTGCATTTGATATAGCATCTTATCATGTCATGAATACATTCCAAAGCATCTCAAAGTACACAGGATATATTGTACAACAATAACAACAACAAAATTACATGTGTACAGCGTCTTTCACGTTGGGAGGATATCCCAAGGTGATGAACAGACAAGAGTTTCGGACCCAAGCTGAGTGTCAGGGAGGGGGAGGGGGAAGGGCAGGGGGGGAGCAGGGAGACCGAAAGTACGGTCGAAGAAGAGGGTCTTGAGGTGGATTTTGAAGGTGGCGAGGGAGGGGGCGAGACAGAGGGACTGCGGGATGGAGTTCTAGAGGGTGGGTGCAGAATGTCGGAAGGCCTGCCCGCCGATAGTGGGGCAAGTGAGGTGGGGGACCTGTAGCAGGCCGGAGCTCGCTGAGCGGTGGGAGCAAACAGGGTGGTGGGGGGTTAGGAGGTTGGAGAGGTAGGGGGGGAGCAAGTCTATGGAGGGCTTTGAAGGCGAGGACCAGGATCTTGAACTGTATCCTCTATGTGATGGGAAGCCAGTGGAGTCGGGCGAGAGTGGGGGAGATGGGGTCACGGAGCTTAGTGTGGGAGAGGACACGGGCTGCAGAGTTCTGGATGATCTGCAGTCTGTGGAGGGAGGAGTTGGGGAGGCCGACAAGCAATGAGTTTGCAGAGTCAAGCTTCGATGTAATGAGGGAGCATATAGATGTTGAAGAGGAGGGGACCGAAGACAGAACCCTGAGGAATGCTGCACGAAACGGTCCGGGGGCTAGAGGAGAAGCCATTTGAGGAGATGAAGTGCAAGCGGTGTGAGAGGTACGATCTGAAAGTGGATGGGCTGTGTACTTTGTTGGTGGAACGTGACAGCCAGTTTACGCACAGCAATGTCCCACACAGAGTGAGTGACCAATTTTATTTGAGGGATAATTTCTCAGTTTACTGATGACAGAACAGTTGGAAGTGTAGCTAACAATGAAGAAGATTGTAAGTAACTTCAGGGGGACATAGACAGATTAGTTGATTGGGCAGAGAGATGGCAAATGAAATTTAATGCAGACAAATCTGAAGTTATACATTTTGGGTGTAAGAATAAGGAGAACAAGTATATGTTAGTGTAAAGTATTAAAAGAAGTGGAAGGACAGAGGGACTTGTGGGATGATTTACATAAATCCTTAAATACAGGACGCCAGGTGGACAAAACTGTAAAAATGTTAATGGGATTTTAGGTTTTATAGATCGGGGTATAGAATATAACAGCAGAGACAATTATAAACTTATGTAAACCGTTAGTTTGACCACAATTGGAATATTGTGTCCAGTGTTGGTCACCTCACTTTAGGAAAGATGTCAAGGTGATAGAGGGTACACAAAGATTTACCAGCATGAACCTGGGGAAGAGTGGTTTGGCCGATGAGCGAGACTGGAGGAACTGGGATCTTTTCGGCTGGAACGAAACAGGTCGAGGGGTGACCTGCTCGAGGTCTTTAAAATGATGAGGGTTTGAAAGTCAATAGGGAGACATTATCAGTAACTATTTAAGCTAGTTAGTAAACAAGTAAATGGGAAGTTTAGAAGAAATGTTTTCACACACAGAGTGGTTAGAATGGACCATCATCCACCCCTTCATCACTTCCCAGCTGGATTATTCGATTGCCCTACTCGCTGGTCTCCCCAGTTGCACCATACACAAAATACAATTAAATTAATTCAAAACTCACCCGCACAAAACTCCGTACTCCCATCACCCCAGTCCTTGCCAGGCTGGGCTGGATCCCGATCACCTAACGGATCGATTTCAAGATCCTCCCTCTCGTTTTCAAATCCCTTCATTCCCTTGCACTTCCCTGCCAATCTATTGCTGCTTACCCCCAGTTCTGACGAAGGGTCGTGGACCCGAAACGTTGACTCACTTTCCTTCCTCTATAGACGCTGCCTGACCTGCTGAGTGTTCCCAGCGACTTCTGTTTTTGTCGGCTGTACTCCTATTGTCTGTTTCCCATCATTTAACAAAACTCTCTCTCCCTGCTGTTACCTTCCTATTAATACTCTCATCTTTTTAACAAGGCTACTACACTGCAGCTTACCAAACATTTCTGAAATCCATATACCAAATCTGCATCATTACCTTCAACTATCCTCTCGGTTATTTTGTCAAATCTATTTGATTTGTCACGCTGACTGTAATGATAAATCTATGTGACTGTTTTTAATCAACCCATGTCTTTAATAATATTATTAATATTATCCTGTATTATATTGCTAAACCTTTGCCCATTCTGGATGTTAGTTTCTTTTATTTCCTCCTCAGATGTTATAAAGAATTGCCATGCTTGGGCTGAATCCACTTTGAAGATATGGATGTACTTGGAATGGAATGCCTTGGGACTTGGCTTCAGTTGATTGTGGAATAGAAAGTAAGCTTCTCTGCTCTTTAACGTGCATTTGGTATTCACATCATATACATCAACATTTGAATTGTGATATAGAGGCAGACAAATTGGGAGATGATCTCTCTCTCTCTCTCTCTCTCTCAATGTTTTCTTTCTCTTTCTGTCTTTCTCACTGTTCATCTGTTGACTCGTTCGCACATTCTCTCTCTCTTGTGCTTGCTGTTTGCTGGTGAAATTAACCTTCCTTTTCTTTGTTCAGGCAAAGTGCCTTATTTAGTGCCTTAAGTAATTGAGTATTTTTATGTCTTTTTCTCCTCATCTTTGACATTTGACTTTGTTCGATCCACTTGAATTTTGACATGTTTTGTTTTTGACATGATTGCTTCAAGCATTCCAATGTCCACTTCCTGTAAGTATGCCTTGTTTGCTGAGATTTCTTCTTTCCTTTTAATAAACATTTTCATTAAATGTCACTGCAGCTCCTGCTTGCTGACAGTAGCTATAGCCTTGGTCGGATTTGGCAGCACAAAGGAAGTCTGAGCTCATAATAAAATGACATTTAGTAATTCATTCCTATTTGATTCCTTTGCAATGTTCCCTCTGCACGTCTCTCTCATCCTTTCTCTTATCACTGGTGGCTCTTACTGGGTGACGTTCCTCAGCCAGTGCCCACCCTCCAGTACCTCCTCACAGCAGAGGGGGGCTCTGGGGGCATGTTGTTACCGTGGGCTAGAGTCAAAGCTGAACACAGTTCCCCCAGTGCTCCTGAGAGAATATGGCGTACCTCACCGCTGGCCTGGCTGATAGTGGAGTCCTGTAGCTCAGTGGTTAGAGCACTCGCTTTGCAAGCGAGAGACCTGAGTTCAATTCCCGGCAGAGGGCGAAACCTTGGGCAAGTTTCCTTACTCCACACAGAGCCTAATAATAATCCTCCAAAACCAAAAAAAACAATAATAAATTGGTCATTTTCAATCTACGACTGTTTGTGGGACATTGCTGTGCGCAATTGGCTGCCGCGTTCGCCCACAAATATACAGTCAATTCACTTTACAGTGTGTTCTGTGAAGCGCGTTGGGACGTCCTCCTGACGTGAAAAGCGCTATATCAAATGCAAGGATTAATATTATTATTATAGTAGCTCAGTGCCTCCCAGATTCCCTCTGCAGACTCATAGCTACACCACATCTTGCCTTTACTCACTGAGCCACCAAGAGGGACAAATTCAAGTGAGTTAATGTGACTCACATTCCTCTGGATGTGTGTATGTATGTGGGGAGGGGATTATTGTGTGTGCATATGTGTGTGTGTGTGTGGGGTGGTGGTGGGGGGGGGCATTAGATGGGTGTATGGGTTGGTTATTGGGGGAGGTGGTATGTGTGTTGGGGGGTGAATATCCGGGAACCAATTCACCGGTGTGTCTGTTGGATTTGTCGTCTCTTCAGATCACTACCTTTACTTTCCAAGAAGATCAGCAAATGAGACACTGAATGAGAATTGTCTTGTGAAATGTTTATTGTGCAACAACAGGAAAATCAAAGTCAGTCAGGCCCACAGCTGCCTGCTTCACAACTCACATTCCAACAATGAGACTGTACACTCTGACTGACTCACAGCATCAAAGCTTCACAATCAGGTTAGATGGGAACATTTATGCGTAAGTGATTAATAATATAAAAAATTAACAAAACAACATGCATAACATTTTGTTATATGTAAACTCTGTTGATTTGTGGGGCTGACCCACTGCTCCCAATAATATTTGGTTATAAGCATGTGATAAACTTAAAAAAAGGAGAAAATACACTCACACATACACAGACCGACACACACATACAGACACACAAACACACAGACATACAGACACACACACACAAAGTTTGGCAATGAATTGTGGTCAGGCTGCACTGGGAAACAGTCAACATCTCAGCCACTACATAAGAGCATCTATGAGCGAACATTATTGGTTTATCATTAGCTGCAGAATTGTGCATTTAATACCACACAACAGTCACGCAATGCCCCTCATGTGGTACCGTCCTGACCTCGCCTGCTCCCCGAGTCTCTGGTCACAATCGCACATTTCTTGATGTATTTCATTTTCGTTGGTGGGAATGTCTCAAGGAAACAAGATTATTTCCCGTCTCAAACAAGCGTCTGCTCAGGGGGACGGAATTGCTGTACATTACGGTGGGTGGTGGTGGAAGGGGTGAGATGGGTAAGGGGCTGAGAAAGGGAAGGGAACAGATGAGTGAGAGCGACTACAATAGCACAGCTCTGAGCCCACAGGCAATGTGCAATCTACCATTACCCTCCTCACTGACACCTGATCAGTTGCACATTGTCACCAGCCGGGAGTCTGTACAACAGGCCAGACATTCTCAGTAACTTTAGCTAACAGAAAAGTCAAGAGATTGGAAACACTCAGCTAGCCGCCACTGTATGACCTACAGATAAGACATCTTCACAACTGTTCCCTTCTGAATGTGAAAAAAACATTTCAGGTCAGCTGTTAAATCTGAAAGCAGAGTCAGAGGAGGGCATCCCGAGGGAAATAAGGCTCTAGCATGGCTCCACAATAGCTGTTGGTCAATCAATCTGGAGGACTGTGAGCCAGGACACGCAGGTCCCCTCATGTTCTGAATAGTCGCTGGATCTTTAACATCCTCCTGAGCAGGCAGGTGGGACCTTGACTCCACGTGGTGTCTGAAACAGTCCAACACTGCCTCCTGTCGTGAATTGGGACGTTAGCCCCATTCCGAGCTCAGGTTTGGGGCTTAAACCCATTACCACTGAGCTGGAGGCCAGAGCTACCAACTGAGACAAACTACAGCAATGTTCAGCTCTGATCGTCACAGCTGAACTGAATATGAATCTGAGGGCTTTTTGCCGATGAGCTCAAGGGAAGTTCGAAATACTGTACATCCAATTTAAGGCAGTCAAAGGTGTAGTCTTTAACGAAATTAGGCAATAGTCACAGCTTTGGTCGACTTTGAATGAAATGTTCCTCCCATTGAGTTCCCTACCTCCTCCTCTCAAAGCCCCTGTCTAGACAGTTACAGGGAAACACAATGATCTGGGTCTGCTGCACCGGATCTGCCAGATTCCCAGCACAGCTTGTACTCACACATTTCATTTTAGTCCAAACAGACTGAGCTTTCAAGTCATAACAGTGAGAGACCAACCTTGTTTGGCTTGTTTGGTTCATTAACAGAAAGTCAAAGGCATTCGGGAATTTTTGATCATTTTAAGTCACTGCGCAGCCTTTCTGTATCTCTCAGGCCAATACTCAATGAATAAACACACCTCAGACATGGTCAGAGACCTGAAATGTTAACTGACTTTCCTCTCTCCATAGACACTGCCTGACCTGCTCAGTGCTCCTAGCCACTTCTGTTTTTATTTCAGATTTCCAGCATCTGCATAATTTTCTGCCTTTTGGTCAGAAAGCTAACTATTTTCTGAAATCACCAGCAGGATACTGGGCAGCCCTCAGCAATCACCCCGTGAGCAGGGCTCTCATTAACGCTCCTCACCGTAAAGGGTGAGGTGTTCAGTGAGGCTGGCTCCAAGCTCCGAGCATTAAACACACACACAGACACCGACAAACACACACACATAGACACACACCCGGAGCGCGAGGGTTAGCAAGCTGGGTGCCAACCTGCCTCAGCCAGACACACAGTTGACTGTGGCCCCCCCTCCAGCCCAGGAGCGCTGAGACTAACCTGACAATCACAGACAATCTTTACAGTTTCACTGTATCACCAGCTGAGCCATTGGGAGAGAAAGGCTGACTCAGTGGTTAAGAATTGACAAGGCAAACCCACAGCTAACTTGGACCTTGGCTGCACTCATTAAACTCAACCACCAAACACTGCGTCTTATCGCAGGGAAAGACAGAGAGACCTGGTTAGGGGGGGGAACAAGCTGGTAATTTACTGTACAAATTATTCACGTATAAAAATGTTACTAAAAAAGTGAAACAGAGAAAGAAAATGCTTTTGCTGGTTACAAACTGTGCTTTGAACGGCCTAATGCTGCTGTGCCGTGTGACTAGAGACTGAGGTGTGGAGCTGGTGTGAGAGCCGCCCGGCTTCACAAATCACTGTTACACTCACGGCAGAGGATGTCGTCCTTCTCGGGGAAGAAGCCCTTCCCGACCAGTGAGGCTTCACATCGTGAGCATGAGAAGCAGCTCTGGTGCCACTGACGATCTTCAAAAGAAATGTATTTCCCTCCACCGAAACCTGGCGCAAGAGCACAGTCACAGTTACACTTGTTCTCTCGCTCATTCCCCCCGAATGCAGAGGGAAAACAACCAACTGCCTTGCCTTGTCTTGCCGTGCAGCACTCATTAGTGTCATTGAAGACAACAACAACAAATTGCATTTACGTCACGCCCTCCATGCAGGGCCAGGGCTCAGGGGTCAGGAGTCAGGACTAGGGTTCAGGGCTCTGACAATTCAAGGTGTGGCCGTGTTTACTGGTGAAGTTGTCTCTGTCTTTTTGTCCTTCCTGTTTGTCCCTCGTCCCCTCCACTCCACCATCGGTGGCCGTGCCTTCAGCTACTACACCCCAAAACTCTGGAACTTGGTTGTGCTTATGGTCACCTCCCCAATCCCTCTCCCCCGGCTCGGTGTCAGCCTTCACCACTGTCAAGCACTCCGGGACACTGCACCATGTGAAGGGGGTGATATAAACGTGTTGTTGTTGATCCCCGAGGGCGTGTGTAGGGGGGGTGGGGTGGCAGTGCTGTGTGTGTGTGTGTAGGGGATGGGGCGGCAGTGCTGTGTGTGTGTGTGTAGGGGGTGGGGCGGCAGTGCTGTGTGTGTAGGGGTGGGGATGGGTGGAGGGGGAGTAGGGTCAGTGAGTCACTTACCTGTGATAGGTTTGCTGCACGCTGCACACTTCTTGGCGTACAGACTCCCAAAGCAGGCCAGGCAGTACGGGGAGTCATCACGAGACGTGAAGTGCTGGCCAGCCAGCGGAGTGTTGCACCCGTTGCAGACAAAGCACTCTTTGTGATACGCCTCATCATGGTAAGTCACACCGCCTTTGGTCAAGGCCTGAGATTCAGTCAGGAAAAAAATCATTACAATTAATATTGTGCAAAGTTCACTGGGAACACTCAGCAGGTCAGGCAGCATCTATGGAGAAAGGAAAATGAGTTAACTCGCTTTCCTCTCTCCATAGATGCTGCCTGACCTGTTGAGTGTTCCCAACAGCTTCTATTTTCCTTAGCTTATTAAAGCACCTGAAACCACTCAAACTCTTCTGTAAATTCCCGAGCTCTCTGAGTGACATTAACAATAACATCCAAGAATAAAACAAGCTGACAATTGTATCAGTCTAGACTTCTGAAAAAGATAAGCTCAGTCCAATTTAAACATTACTCTTATCCCAGTACAAGCCAGAGACGTTTGTGTCTCTCCTTTCCTCTCTAACCAGTTTCCACCCCGTCACCCAACATGCAACCACCCCCCCCACCCCTCACCACCGAGAACATCCCAAATTGTGATCCTTCCTTCGCCATCTTCAGGTCACACCTAAAGACCTTTCTCTTGGATCGTGCCTACGGTCACCTCCCCCCGGCTCGGCATCATGCTTCGCCACTGTCAAGTGCTCTGGGTCCCTGTGTGAGTGAGGGGTGCTGTGTAACTGCAAGTTGTTGTAATCCACACTGACATGTTTTTCTAACTCAATCTCATTTTACTGGTTAGGGATTACTTTCTGTGTCCTGTGCTTAAAAAAGGCTCGTGGGAAACAGATCAAACGTTGTAGAAAAAGTAAAGGAGGATGTGACAGAGTTAACAGGGAATAGATGGAGAGGGTGCCATAATGTAAAACTATAGGGTGTGGGGCAAGGGCAGGTAAACGGCACTGAATGCCAGCACCACAGACACAATGGCCTGTGGGTCTACAGTTACTATAAATTAATGAGAGGCTTGAATTACCCATTAGTGCTCACCCTCCCACTCCGTTTAATGCCATTTTTAACCTTTTGGCAATTCTGAGGGCCAGTGTTAGATTGAATGAGTTTTCATTGGTGATTTTCCCCATCTGGTGCTCACACAGCGCGACACTCACTCGCCTGACAGTCCCACAAACACAGAGTCACACACACAGACACATAGTCACACACACAGTCACACAGACACACACACAGTCACATACACACAGTCACGCATACAGACACACAGTCACACATACAGACACACAGTCACACATACAGACACACAGTCACGCATACAGACACACAGTCACGCATACAGACACACAGTCACGTATACAGACATACAGGCACATAGTCACGCATACAGACACACAGTCACGCATACAGACACACAGTCACGCATACAGACTCACAGTCACGCATACAGACTCACAGGCACACAGTCACGCATACAGACACACAGTCACACATACAGATACACAGTCACACATACAGATACACAGTCACACAGACACATTCACACATATAGACACACAGTCACAGATACAGTCACACAGTCTATCACATGAAGAGTTTTCTAAGTCAAAAAAGCCAGGCAGCAAAGAGAGGAGTGAGCATCACTGTTAGCTTCGCATTAAGCTGCTCATTACCTTCTTGCAGTGAAAACATCGAGGAGCGAAGTGGTTCTCGTAGCACGGCACGCAGTAGATGTCGTCCTTATTTGGAATAAAGGCCTTGGAGCCTATGGGCTGCTCACACGTGTGACATATAAAGCAGCTCTCGTGCCAGGTGCTGCCGTTGTACTCGAGTTTCCGAGTGCCTGAGAGACAGAAGCACCCGTCAGCGTCCAGGTAAAGCATTGTCTCCTACAGCGCTTACAGCCTCGCCAACCAGTCTCAGCCCAGATCAACAAACTTAAAAGCCCATCCTAGACCTTGTTTTGTGTAACGAAACAGGGCTATTTGGCAGAGTAGGTATTAAGAATCCTCCAGGGCAGAGTGATCACAATATGATTGAATTCTACATTAAGTTAGAGAGGGATATAGTTAAATCCGAGGCAAGTATTCTGAATTTAAATAAGGCTAATTTTGTAGGTATGAGGAAAAATTTAGGTAAAATAGACTGGAGAATAAGATTAAGAGGTAAAAACTTAGACCAACAATGGCAAATATTTAAAGATGTAGTGCAAAGTTCTCAGCGGTCGCATATTCCCTTGCGGAATAAGAGTACCACAGGGAAAGCAATTCATCCGTGGCTAACTAGAGCAGTGAGGGAAAGCATCAAATTAAAAGAAAAAGCTTATAAAACTGCCAAGAAAAGCAGCAAATCTGAAGATTGGGAGAGTTTTAGCAACCAGCAAAATAAACCTAAAAAACTCATTAAGAGCGAGAAAAAGGAGTATGAGGGTAAGCGAGCGAGGAACATTAAGTCTGATTATAAAAGTTTTTACAAATATATTAAGAGGAATAGGCTGTGAGGGTAAATGCAGGTCCACTTCAGTCAGAGACGGGAGAAGTTGTAATGGGGGACAAGGACATGGCAGAGTCCCTAAATGGGTACTTTGCACCTGTCTTCACCCGAGAAGACACAACCAGTCTGTCAACAATAGAGATGCACTAAGGGGATAAGGACAGGGAGCAACTTAGTGAAATTTTCACTAGTAGAGAATTGGTGCTGGGAAACTGTTAGCACTAAAAAGTGACAAATCCCCTGGTCCGGATGGCTTGCATCCCAGGGTTTTAAAAGTGGGAGCTTATGAGATAGTGGAGGCCTTATGTCTGATCTTCCAAAATTCCTTGGATTCTGGAACAGTCCCCATGGATTGGAAGATCGCAAATGTCACACCACTATTTAAAAAAGGTGGAAAGGAAAAGATGGGGAACTATAGGCCAGTTAGTCTCACATCAGTGATAGGAAAAATTTTAGAATCATTGATTAAGGATGTGGTAGTACGGTATTTAGGGCACAATATAATTAGGCCAAGTCAACATGGCTTTACAAAAGGGAAGTCATGTTTGACAAATCTCATAGAGTTTTTTGAGGACATTTCCAGTAAACTCGATAAGGGTGAATCAGTGGATGTGGTCTATTTGGACTTCCAGAAGGCATTCGATAAGGTGCCGCATAAAAGGTTAGTCCAAAAGATAAGGGCCCATGGAATTGGGGGGAGCATATTACTGTGGATTGGGGAATGGTTAACGGGTAGGAAACAAAGAGTAGGATAAACGGGTCCTTTTCAGATTGGTGGGATGTGACCAGTGGATCAGTCCTTGGGCCTCAGCTATTTACCATCTACATCAACGATTTAGATGAGGACATCAAAGTTAATATATCTAAATTCGCGGATGACACAAAACTAGGAGGAAGTGTCAACACAGAGGACGACATTAAAAAACTGCAGCGAGACATAGATAGGTGAGGTGACTGGGCAGGTAGGTGGCAGATGGAGTATAATGTAGGGAAGTGCGAAGTCATCCACCTGGGTAGCAAAAACAGTAGAGTGGGTTATTTTTTAAAAGGGAGAGATTAGAATGTGTTAGCGTCCAGAGGGACTTGAGTGTCCTTGTACACCAATCACAGAAAGTTAGTCTGCAGGTGCAGCAGCAATTAGGAAGGCGAACGGTATGTTAGCATTCATTATGAAAGGATTAGAGTATAAGAGTAGGGAAGTCTTACTGCAACTGTATAGGGCCCTGTGAGACCACACCTGGAATACTGTGTGCAGTTTTGGTCTCCTCATTTAAGGAAGGATGTACTTTCCGTGGAGGGGGTGCAGATTTCTTATAGAAACCTATAAGATCATCAAAGGGCAATGATCGAGTAGATAGTGGGAGATTGTTTCCCCGGTTGGAGAAACTAAAACCAGGGGTCACAACCTTAAAATCAGAGGCAGCCCTTTCGCACTGAGTTGAAGAAGAACTTCTTCACTCAAAGGGCAGTGAATGTATGAAACTCACTACCCCAAAGGGCTGTTAACGCTCAGTCCTTGAACATATTCAAGACTGAGAGAGATAGATTTCTTATTGCAATAGGGATTAAGGGATATGGGGATAACGCAGCGTCAGGTTATTAGCTGGAGTTAGATTAGAAGATCAGCCATGATTGAATGGCGAGGCAGGCTCGAAGGGCCGAATGGCCTACTCCTGCTCCTACATGTTATGTTAGCAGACACCAGGACTCGAGCCAGAAAGTTGTCAGGCCATAAACTACAGCATAAAAGCCCTGAACAGAATATACTGGCACCTGGTGCTCACTGATCTGCCCTCAACTCCCAGGTAAATCCCTGTGCAGCATAGACTTGAGTGAGACACTCGCCAGCATTCGTGGAGTAACACTGGGAAGAGCTTGTTACTGCTAAATATCTTTTGGATATCTTATTGCAATGAAAAATTGGAAAGAGTTTCTGATGCTTACATAGAATCATAGAATTATACAGCACAGAAGGAGGCCATTTGGCCCATCATGTCTGTGCCAAGACCTTCCAAATCAACCCCACTCCCCCGCTCTCTCCCCATAGCTCTGCAAACTTGTCCTCCCCAAATAATTATCTACTTCTTTCTTAAAAGCTGTTATCGTATCGGCTTCCCCCAGCCTTTCAGGCAATATCTGATCCCAACAACTCGCTGTGTGAAAACATTTCTCCTCACTTCCCCTCTGTTTCTTTTAACAACCATTTTAAATTGGTGTCCTCGGATTACCGACCCACCCGCCAGTGGAAATAGTTTCTCCATCTTATTACGTGCAAGTAGCTGTAATTGTAATTGTGGAAGATTTGCTGAGATTACCTGAGTCAGGCAGTGCAGCACCAGCTCTAAACGTGTGCAACCCAGCCCGCAGCCAGTGCAGAGAGAAACTAACTCATTGCAAAATGGGGAACAGAATGGGGAATTCCACTGATCGGCCCGAGTGAAACCTCATTAGGGTTAACGAACAGCGTGTGTTGGACCAAGTTTTGACAAGCAATCAGATCTTAAAACGTTTCTATTCAACTCACAGAAAACATTCATTTCAGTGGTTGCCTTTTCATTCTCTCTCTTCTCTAGGTTTAAAATCTTTCATCAGTTACATTTTGTGAATGGAATGAAAAATATTAATACCTGAATTGATTGAGAAAAGATCAGAGACAAAGATTAGAGACACCTTGGGCGGGTGGGTGGCTGATAAATTTGGTGAACCTGGGACTAATTCCATTGCCCACCCACATTGTCAAAGTGCAGCACCTGGCACTGGGCAATGAGAAGGATTTTTAATAATAATCCTTGCATTTGATATAGTGCCTTATCACGTCTTCTGGAGCGCTTCACAGAATATACTGTAAAGTGAATTGACTATATTTTGTGGGTTAAACTGGCACTTAATTGCGCACAGCAGTGTCCCAAAACCAGTCATGGATTATGTGACCAAATTATTATTATTTTTCTTGCAGAGATTATTACCCCCGGAAAAGTGATCCATCAATTGACTAACAACCAGATTCCTATTTACTGCTAAATAAACAGGCGTGTGAAGTAAGGAGATTTTGCCCAATGTTTCACCCTGCCCGGGAATCAAACCCAGGTCTCTTACTTGTGAGGTAAGTCCTCTAAACACTAAACTACAGGACTCCACAAAGGTGCTACAATGGCTGACGAGACTAAACCAATGACTGTGTGTAGATGCAGATCCGCATTATTACTGTAATAACAAGTATCTCCAGAACCCAGTGTTTCCAGGAAATGCTGCCACAGGATGACGGAGGACAAGTTCTCGCTCACAGAGCACGTACCTGGCATCACAACCTTGTCACAAGCAACACACTTGGAGGAGAATTCACTGCAGTAACAATCATTGCACAACAATTCTTCCTCTTGACATGTGAATGGCTCGTCTGCCAGGGATCGGTCACAGCGATAGCACCGGAAACAATGCTCGTGGTAATGCCGGTCTTCGTAAAACAACTCCTGACACGTCAATGAAATCAGAGAATAAAAACAGTAATTAGTCACATCCAGAGAGGTGTCCAAAAATCTGTACCCTTCACAGTTACCCGCCTGACTCCACTCAGTAAGTCAGTTTCACTTACTGTAGCCCTTCACTCCAGTATTGGTGTTTAATCTGCTGCACAACTGGGCTCTCCCACTTCCACCACTCCCCTACAGAGCTCCCCCACAGGTCACCCCTTTTCCCACCGGAGTAGCCTCCAGCCCAAATGGACCTGGGCTCAGATGTTGCAGGATAATAGCAAACACAACACTGCCCACGTAACTGGCAACGTTCACAATACCTGCATGCCGTGTCACCAAGGATATTAAGAGTGAGAGAGGACAGACACAAACTGGAGAGAGAGGAAGAATTCCTGAAAATAAGCCATGTATAAACATACGTTTGTAACATAGCAAAAGCTATAAGTTTCTCCAAAAACAATGAGAATCACAAGTGAGAAAGAAGCTGTTGAAATGGTATGACTGATGAGATGGACTGGATATGTGAGTTTGGAGATTGGAGAAGCCATGTTTTGTTAATCAGGATCTGTTCATATAAACCCAACTGTGTGAGGCGATATCTCTGTAGGCCTGATATCATTCATACGTTTGGCCACCCTCCTGCTCTCCCCATCCCAACCCCCAGCTCGGGTCCAAATCCCTGATTGTCCAGCGCCTTGGGACTTACTCCTGATGTGAAAGATGCTGTACAAATATAATTTTGCATTGTATAATGCAGCTAATGGGAGACAGAACAGGATAGCATTTTGCAGAACAAATTTATTATATTCAGAAAAGAACTGGAAGGAGATTAGGAGAAATGTTTTTACACAGAAAGTTGTTACGCTCTGAAATGCACCGCCTCAGACTTCATGGTGACTGGTTCAGATCCTAGCTCTCACACCGCCTCCACTTTATCTCCACAAACATTATCGCCTCCAGTCCCCGCACCGTCTCGTGCGGTGTTCCTCAGGGCTCTGTCCTTGTTCCCCTCCTCTTCAATATCTATATGCTTCCTCTTGGTGACATCATCCACAGACATGGGGTCAACTTCCACATGTACGCGGACGACACCCAACTCTCTCTCTCTGCCTCCACCCTTGACTCCAGGACCCACTGCTATCCTGACAGAATGTCTGTCAGACGTCAAGTCCTGGATGAGAGTGAACTTTCTTCAGTTGAACGTCAACAAGACCGAGGCTCCTGATTGGCTCCCGTCAACGCCTCAACACCTCAGGCGTTGACAGCATCACCATCCATGGGGCTCACCCCCCCTCACTGAGCCGGGCAGGAACCTTGGGGTCTTGATTGACCCTCAACTATCCTTTCTACCCCACCTCTGCACCATGACCCACTCTGCCTTCCCCACCTCCACAACATCACCCGGCTCCGCCACCACCTCTACCCTTAGGCCGCCGAAAACTTCATACACACATTTATCACATCTAGGCTCGACTATGCTAACTCCCTGCTTGTCAGCCTTACCAACTCTCCCCTTCACAAGCCACAGATCATCCAGAACACTGCAGCCCATGTCCTTTCCCGCACCAGGCTCCGTGACCCTATCACCCCCACCGTTGCCTGGGTCCACTGACTTCCCCTCACACAGAGAATAGAATTAAAAGTCCTTGTTCTCTCCTTCAAGGCCCTACCCCTGCGACCTGCTGACCCCATATCAACCTGTTCCCTCCGCTCAGCAGGCTCTGGCCTGCTTCACGTCCCCTGCGTTGCCCGGTACACCATTGCCTGCCGGGCCTTCAGCCTTTCTGCCCCCACCCTATGGAATTCCATCCCACATTCCCTTCACCTCACTCCTTCCCTAGCCTCTTTCAAGGCACATCTCCAAACCATCCTCTTCAACCCAGCCTTCGGCCACCCTCCCCAACCCCGACCTCCATCTCAGGTCCAGATCCCTGACTGTCCAGCACCTTGGGACATCCCCCCGAACTGAAAGGTGCTATATAAAATGTAATTTGTATTGTATTGCCTGAAAGGCTGGTGGAAGCAGATTCAATAACAACTTTCAAAGGGAATTAGATAGGTACTTGAAAGGGAAAAAATTACAAGGATCTGGCGAAAGGGTGGGGGAGTGGGACTGATTGGGTTGCTCTTCCAAAGAGCGGCACAGGCACAATGGGTCGAATGGCCTCCTTATGTGCTGTAATATTCTATGATTCTGTAAATCTACAGCCAGAGTGCCATAATCCTCCTGCTTCAAACTAGTGCTAATCACACCACTTAGTACTGTTTCTACTGTAAGCCATGGCCAGAGACCAGATGGGATCTGTCACTGCAGGTGCATTAGCCTGTAGCAAAGCTTCAGTGTTTGGGTAAGATATCAGGAGACGTGGAAATGGCGCTGCTGCAATGCAAAGTTTAGACCAGGAATATTAAGAGGGAATTGATGTGAGAGAATGCTTTGGTGGAACTGGTTTCAATAGACGAGCTCCCATAATGGGAGCTCGTCTATTGAAACCTAATATTTAGAGGCAAAAAGCAAAATACTGCATATGCTGGAAATCTGAAATAAACACAGAAGTTCTTGGGGAACACTCAACAGATCAGGCAGCGTGTATGGAGAGAGGAAACTGACTTAATGTTTCAGGTCAATGACCTTTGGTCATCTATGGAGAGAGATGCTGCCTGACCTGCTGAGTGTTCCCAGCGACCTTCGGCCATCGACCTGAAACGTTAACCCACTTTCCTCTCACTGCAGGAGGGCGGGGGGGAGGGGCAGAGAAATAGATGCCCAGAAGCACAGTCCAAAAGAAGTTGGCAGGTGGGCTGTAAAGGAGGGGCAGGAGGGGGCGAGGCAGAGGCTATGTGTGATGATGTGTGTGGAGTCCTGCAGCTCAGTGGTTAGAGCACTCACTTTGCAAGCGAGAGACCGGAGTTCAATCCCAGGCAGAGGGCGAAACCTCGGGCAAGTTTCCTTACTCCACACAGAGCCTAATAATAATCCCTCCAAAACCACAAACAATAATAAATTGGTCATTTTCAATCTATGACTGTTTGTGGGACATTGCTGTGCGCAATTGGCTGCCGCGTTCGCCCACAAATATACAGTCAATTCACTTTACAGTATATTCTGTGAAGCGCTTTGGGACGTCGAGAAGACGTGAAAAGTGCTATATCAAATGCAAGGATTATTATTATTATTATTATGATGATCAGTGAGCGGGGAGGGGAGAGCTGGTGTGCTAGGTGACATGAAGCAGGTCAGTGTTTGCTCCTGGCCACTGTGCAGTAACTGGCTGCTGTCAGTGAGTGGATGAGCTGATAAAGTGACTTTGTGCTAATAGCTCAGCCGCAGGCTCCTCCATCTAATAAATCTCAGTTGCCTTCGAAGCCCTGACGTTTACTGTAAAACAAACACTCGAGAAGAATTTCTGGCCCAGTACCAAGTGCCTGGAATCCTCAGCAAGTGAAGCCAGGGAACTGAGGCTGCCAACCCAGCCCCCAGCCCTGTCCCCCAGCCCCAGCCCTGCACAGCCCTGCCCAGCCCCCAGCCCCAGCCCTGCACAGCCTCCAGCCCCCAGCCCTGTCCCCCAGCCTCCAGCCCTGCACAGCCTCCAGCCCTGTCCCCCAGCCCCAGCCCTGCCCAGCCCCCAGCCCTGCCCAGCCTCCAGCCCTGCCCAGCCCCAGCCCCAGCCCTGCCCAGCCCCCAGCCCTGCCCAGCCCCCAGCCCCTGCCCAGGCCCCAGCCCCCAGCCCTGCCCAACCCTTAGCCCCCAGCCCTGCCCAGCCCCCAGCCCTGCCCAGCCCCCAGCCCTGCCCAGCCCCAGCCCTGCCCAGCCCCCAGCCCTGCCCAGCCCCCCAGCCCTGGCCAGCCCCCAGGCCCCAGCCCTGCCCAGCCCTGCCCCAGCCCCAGCCCCTGCCCAGCCCTGCCCAGCCCCAGCCCTGCCCAGCCCCCAGCCCAGCCCTGCCCCAGCCCCCAGCCCAGCCCAGCCCCCAGCCCTGCCCAGCCTCCAGCCCTGTCCCCAGCCCAGCCCTGCCCAGCCCCCAGCCCTGCCCCAGCCTCCAGCCCTGCCCCCAGCCCTGCCCAGCCCCCAGCCCCCCAGCCCTGCCCCCAGCCCTGCCCAGCCCCCAGCCCGCCTGCCCAGCCTCCAGCCCCAGCCCCCAGCCCTGCCGCCCCAGCCCCCCAGCCCCCAGCAGCCCGCCACAGCCCTGTCCCCCCCAGCCCTGCCAAGCCCTGCCACAGCCTCCAGCCTGCCCGCCCCAGCCCCCAGCCCCAGCCCTGCCCAGCCCCAGCCCTGCCCAGCCCCCCCTGCCAGCCCCCAGCCCTGCCAGCCTCCGCCCCCAGCCCTGCCCAGCCCAGCCCTGCCAGCCCTGCCCCCAGCCCCCAGCCCCTGCCCAGCCCCAGCCCGCCCCAGCCCAGCCCCAGCCGCCCAGCCCCAGCCCTGCCGCCCCAGCCGCCCCCAGCCCCAGCTCCCCCAGCCCGCACCCCCAGCCCCTGTCCCCCCCACCCCCCCCAGCCCCAGCCCCCCCAGCCCACCCACGCCCTGCCCCCAGCCCCCAGCCCCCCCAGCACCTGCCCAGCCCATGCTCCCCCAGCCCCCCAGCCCTGCCCAGCCCCCAGCCCTGTCCCCCAGCCCCAGCCCAGCCCCAGCCCTGTCCCCCAGCCCCAGCCCCAGCCCTGCCCCAGCCCCAGCCCCCAGCACTGTCCCCCAGCCCCAGCCCAGCCCCCAGCCCTGCCCAGCCCCCAGCCCTGTCCCCAGCCCCAGCCCTGCCCAGCCCCAGCCCAGCCCAGCCCCCAGCCCCAGCCCCCAGCCCTGTCCCCCAGCCCTGCCAGCCCCCAGCCCTGTCCCCAGCCCCAGACACTGCCCCAGGCCCGCCCAGCTCCCTCCCAGCCCCGCCAGCTCCAGCCCCCAGCCCAGCTCCCAGCCCCCACCCACTCCAGCCCCAGCCACGCCCAGCTCAGCTCCCAGCTCCCTGCCCAGCTCCTGCCCTGCCAGCTCCCTGCCCAGCTCCCAGCCCAGCCAGCTCCCAGCCCAGCCCAGCTCCCAGCTCCCAGCCAGCTTCCTGCCCAGCCCAGCTCCCAGCCCAGCTCCCAGCCCAGCCCAGCTCCAGCCCAGCCCCCAGCCCAGCTCCCAGCCCAGCCCAGCTCCCAGCTCCCAGCCCAGCTCCCAGCCCAGCTCCCAGCCCAGCCCAGCTCCCTGCCCAGCCAGCTCCCAGCCCAGCCCAGCTCCCTGCCCAGCCCAGCTCTGCCAGCCCAGCTCCCTGCCCAGCCCAGCTCTGCCCAGCTCCCTGCCCTGCCCAGCCAGCTCCCAGCCCAGCTTCCTGCCCAGCCCAGCTCCCAGCCCAGCCCAGCTCCCTGCCAGCCCAGCTCCCTGCCCAGCCCAGCTCTGCCCAGCCTCCTGCCCAACCCCAGCCCAGCTCCCAGCCCAGCTCCCTGCCCAGCTCCCTACCCTGCCCAGCCCAGCTCCCAGCCCAGCCCAGCTCCCAGCTCCCAGCTCAGCCCAGCTCCCAGCCCAGCTCAGCCCAGCTCCCAGCCCAGCCCAGCTCCCAGCCCAGCTCCCAGCCCAGCCCAGCCCAGCTCCCAGCCCAGCTCCCTGCCCAGCTCCCTGCCCTGCCCCAGCCCAGCTCCCAGCCCAGCCCAGCTCCCAGCCCAGCTCCAGCCCAGCTCCCAGCCCAGCCTCCCAGCCAGCTCCCCAGCGCAGCCCAGCTCCCAGCCAGCCCAGCTCCCAGCCCAGCCCAGCTCCCTGCCCAGCCCAGCTCCCAGCCCAGCCCAGCCCCCAGCCCAGCCCAGCTCCCAGCCCGCAGCCCAGCTCCCTGCCCAGCCCAGCTCCCTGCCCAGCCCAGCTCCCTGCCCAGCCCAGCTCCCTGCCCAGCCCAGCTCTGCCCAGCTCCCTCCTGCCCAGCCCAGCTCCCAGCCCAGCTTCCTGCCCAGCCCAGCTCCCAGCCCAGCCCAGCTCCCTGCCCAGCCCAGCTCCCTGCCCAGCCCAGCTCTGCCCAGCTCCCAGCCCAGCCCAGCCCAGCTCCCTGCCCAGCCCAGCCCAGCTCCTGCCCAGCCCAGCTCTGCCAGCTCCCTGCCCAGCCCAGCCCAGCTCCCTGCCCAGCTCCCAACCCAGCTCCCAGCCCACGCCCAGCTCCCAGCCCAGCTCCCTGCCCAGCCCAGCTCCCTGCACTACCCCCAGCTCAGCCCTGCCCCTCAGCCCTGCCCCCCAGCCCAGCCCCAGCCCCCTGCACTACCCCCAGCTCTGCCCTGCCCCCAGCCCAGCCCCCACCATGCCAGGACAGCATTGTAAACCCAAACATTTGAGGATAGAACTGTAATCCCCAGCCATCAAACGGTTTACTCGTCACAACAGAAAAGCTGCTGATCAGATAGATGTAGATGGCCAATTAAACAATGTATTTAGCGGGTGCCCAACGAGTGCCTTACCCGAGCTTCATGTCCGATGGGCTCTTTGCACTCATCGCAGGTGTTTGCAAAGATGGTGTCATAGCAGGGGATACAGTGAGGCTGCTCTCCCGATAAGATGTACTTCCTTCCGTACAGAGACTCTTTACAGTGGTGACAGTCAAACGGTTCACTCATCATCTGTAAGGAACAAATAAAAGAACAGGTTGCACTATTGGTAATAATAATAATAATCCTTGCATTTGATATCGCGCCATATCATGTTGTTCAGATGTGTCAAACGCTTCACAGAATAGACTGTAAAATGAATTGACTATATTTTGTGGGCGAACACGGCAGCCAATTGCGCACAGCAGCGTCCCACAAACAGTCGTGGATTAAAAATGACCAATTTTATTATTGTTTTGTTTTTGGAGGGATTATTATCAGCGTCTCGGGGTAAGGAAACTTGCCCAAGGTTTTGTCCTGCCTGGAATTGAACTCAGGTGTCTCGCTTGCAAAGCTACAGGCTTTGTGGAGTCCTGTAGCTCAGTGGTTAGAGCACTCACTTTGCAAATGAGAGACCTGAGTTCAATCCCAGGCAGAGGGCGAAACCTTGGGCAAGTTTCCTTACTCCACACAGAGCCTAATAATAATCCCTCCAAAACAAAAACAATAATAAATTGGTCATTTTCAATCCCCGACTGTTTGTGGGACATTGCTGTGCGCAATTGGCTGCCGCGTTCGCCCACAAATATACATTCAATTCACTTTACATTGTGTTCTGTGAAGCGCTTTGGGACGTCCTCCCGACGTGAAAAGCGCTATATCAAATGCAAGGATTATTATTATTATAAAGCGAGTGCTCTAACCACTGAGCTACAGGACTCCACTATGTCCATTTGCAGTCTGTTACTATCCTCCTCACCGTTCACTATTTTTCCTAACTTTGTATCATCTGCAAACTTGGGAATTGTACTCCCTATACCCAAGTTCAGGTCATTTATATAGATCACAAACAGCAGTGGCCCCAATACTGATCTCTGGGGGACACCACTGTACACTTCCCTCAAGTCAGAAAAACAACCGTTCACCACCACTCTCTGCTTTCTGTCTCCCAGACATTCTGTATCCGTTGCCACTGTCCCTTTAACACCGGGGGCTTCTATTTTGCTTACAAGTCTCTTATTGGCACTTTATCAAACACCAGCACCTTGGGATGTCCTCCCAACATGAAAGGCGGTTTACAAATTAATTTATTTGTTGTTGTTTTGAAAATCCATATAACAACTGGGTTCCTATGCACTGCTTGGTAAACAGAAGCATGTAGAATAAGGAAACTTGTCCAACGTTTCACCCTGCCTGCGAGTCGAACCCAAGTCCTCTCGCCTGTGAGGCGAGTGCTCCAACCACTAAGTTACGAGACTCCACCTCAGTGCGATTCTGCTGTTATTAACATTAATGACTTCCATTGAGGGTTCGTTTTCTAAGAGAAAGCTTGCCCCTTTGAACCACACCACCGAAAGGTATACAAAGAGTCATACTCCACAGAACGTCTCT